TCTCTCACAGTGAGTCCTGACCAAGGTCAACACTTCACCTCTGACTCTGTGTCTCTGAGCTGTGAGGGAAACTCTGCTGACTGGAGAGTGATGAGGTTTAATGAGGACGTCTACTGGATAGTTTGTTCCTACTGGGGGAGAATGACTGGATCCACGTGTAACATCACTTCATGGTCCAGTACTGCAGTGTACTGGTGTGAGTCTATATCCGGAGAGTTCAGCAACGCAGTCAACATCACTGTACATGGTATGTTTCATTACTTTAATTTAAAACAAGAGTTTCCATTTCAGGCAGTTTCCTTTGAGCTCAGGTGAGATGAACAGCAATAAAAACAGACCAACATAGACACAAACAAACTGCTCTGCAGGTGGTAGTACAACTTCTATATCTGTCCTTTACTTCAGTGGTCCCCAACCCCCGGGCCGCGGACCGGTACCGGTCCGTGGATCAATTGGTACCGGGCCGCACAAGAAATCATTAATTATTTCCGTTTTATTTACTATCTGAGTCTGAACGGTCTTTTATTTTGAAAAATGACCGCATTCTCTCGGTTACATCTCAAAAACCAAAACAGCATGACAAGCTAGCCCGACACCGATCAAGAGTTGTTGATTTGCATGTAGCTGGAAAGACTCACAGAGTCATCTCATAGACTTTAGATATTCATCAGTCCACAGTTGGACATGGTTTCTGTAAATGAAAAAGATTTGGCATTGTGCCTACTCTCTAAAGAATTCAGCACCCAGAATTCACTCCACAGGCACAATGCAGAACGCTCTGTGAGGTAAAAAAAAAAAAAAAAGAACCCAAGGGAAAAAGCGGAAGGTGATTCGTGTGTGTTAGACGATCCACGCGTGCGTAGGTAACAATTTGTACGTACTTTCTAAAGAATTACACACGAAAAATTGATTTTAAGCATTTGTAAAATGTGTTTTACGTGCAGTTTGTACAGCACGCATTTGTGAACCTCATGACACACACACACACAAATCGCTTGTTACGGACAAAACGTTAAACACAAATTTGTAACATTTTTGATAGGATTTTATCTCCATAGAAGTCTGCCTTGTCCTCAGTGCTCCTGCACACATCTGATGATGTATTTTGTTCTGATCCAGAATTATAATGAACTCTGTTTGTGAAATAATTCAACATAACCTTGACTTGCAGATAGTTAGAATGAATAAAATGTATAATAATGGCACCATTCAATTGTAATTAATCACATTGATTATGCAACTTAATACAACTCCATGTGGATAATTTGCACTTTCCCAGACACAAGGTTACAGCTAAGCAAAGTATGGATTAAAAACAAGGAAAACAAATCAACGCATTGTACACACAGCTAGCATTATTCTCTCAATCTACATTGCAAATTGTTTGCAGGAGCCCAAAATACTGCTGATTATTGATGACAACTTAAAACGAGCTAATGTAATATGAACTTGTAGTGAAAATAGCTTGCTCACTCTGCACGACGTAGACAAGAGGTCTGTGGTTCGGCTCAGCAGACAGTTTTTTCCAGCACCACTCACTGAAAGCCAGTGCTGTGGAGACAAAAGCCTGTTCTCTGTGTGTTTTGAATTGATTTGCCTTTGAATAGTATTTTCAAAATGTTTGGACATGATACAACCACTCTTGTTAAAGTCGAAATCTTTTTGTCATACTTGAGGGAAGATTCTGTGTAGTGACCCATGGTTAGACCTGGAGCCCCTGCATTTCACCTGCAATTTATTAGGTCTGTCATATGTTCAGGCTGCAGAATGGAGAGACACGATTTTGTTGATTTTATTTGACAGTGCTAGACAGTTAAGTATTTTATTTTAAACTAAGCTGTTGCTGTTAGAAATTATCTCATTTGTTTTATTAGATACAAATGTCTTAAATAAATAAAAACACATAAAACGGCAGAATTACATCTACAAATAAAGATATATTATTGTTTAATAAAATTAAGCATTTACATTTTTCATCTGGTATTTATTAAGTAACTTTAATAGATCTTGTATCAGCACCAGGAGCTGTTCATAGACCCATTTCAACAAAAAAATAGTAAAAATAAGCTAAAACATAGTAATAAATAAGTTTGTTCCATTTGTTCTGCCACTCAAACAAATCTCAGAATAAAAAAGCTCCAGGGTACATAACAAACCTTATTTATTTATTTAACAGACCTCCATCTCCATAAACCTTAAGTGCAATATTTGTTGCCTGTCTTTCCAAATATAAACAGGTAATAGAAAGAAGAAACAATAGAAAGAAACAATAGAAAGAAGAATGCTACATCAGTCCTACTGAACACGCAGTTCTTTTTACAGTGTGTGTAGTTTATTTGCTGTGTTTTACCACAGGGTAAATTAATTCCTTCAGTAATTCCTTCATTATATACTGTTTGTTGGAGTTTTGGATATAGTTTTCCCTTCTCCAAGGTGTTTTTGTCAGCTCCTCTCTGCGCTTTTTATCCCTTAGGCACCTGTATAGACACGAGCGTGAGGCTCACACAAGGTGTATGCGACATACTACACACTGCACACTGCACACGCTACGTTTTCGATCTGTGCCAGTGTGTGTGCACTGTGAACCATCATGTGTCTAAATTTGACCTGCAGGATATCTCAGAGCGATTGGCTGCCACTGTTCATAGCCGACCAGTTCCGATCTACCGGCCAGTGCCTCTTTAATGACTGTGCATTGTTTGTGTATATTTAAAAGCATAGTTTGGCAGTTTGTGAAATAACTTATGTGATAATTTTCTGAGACTTTATTGCCCATGTACAAAATAACCATTGGGATGTTGCAATCTCATGCATTGTAATGCTGATTACAGTTTCAGTTAAATATCTTATTCATTTAAAAATAGTCATAAAGCCATCATCTACAGTGTATATGTACATCGATATAAAATTCTCAGCCTTCATAAATACTGTATGGCACATCACTTCTGTGTAGCACTGCAGGTAATTCACTATTTTGCACAATACAGTAGAGCTCAAAAATGCTATAATTCAGAAGTATATTCTCAGCAAAGTGGTCTGTACTGTTGAACATTAGAGAAGTGAAAGGGAGCAAAACATTACTGCCAGAATTTAAATGGTTTCTTTTAGAGCTGGAGGAAAAATGCAGCTGTAGTTATGTATGAGATTAGCCGGATGCTGACAATACTTGTGAACACTTTATCCTTCCAGAATACTGCCTGATTCTTTCAGATGACTTCTTCAGACATTGGTCTAAATGAGGGATTACGTTGGTGCACCGAGCTGGCTCGTTAAAACATCCACAGCCTGGCAGACATAGGACTGTACGGTCACATAAGTGTGACTAATGACTTGGCTCAGACACACGAGCCCTTTCATTCTCTCTTCATTTTGTTGCTTCTTTCCCTCCTGCTGCCCATCATTCCGTCAGTGCATTAGGTTTGGAATTTGGTTGTGTGCCTCACCTTGTTAAAACAAAGCAGGCAGCCTGTTTGCACAGAGGACAGCACGGTCAGCTGAGTGTGAATAACTTGCCTCTGATGCATGACTTCATACAATCCAAATAATGAGTCAATTAGAGTAAATTATACATGTTTAGGGCCCACTGCAATTAGTTCACCTCTCTCTTTTCCTGTCTGACTGAAGTCTCTCCTCCATCCTGTCTCCTCCTCCTCCTCCCTTCCTCTCTCCCCTCTGTCATCAATCTGTCACTATCCTTTCCCCGTTCTTCCTCCCATCTCCTGTTTGTCATCTTCCTTTCTTTTTTCACCTCCTCCTCCTTGTCTTCCTTTCATCAGCCCCCATCCCTTTGTCTTTGTCCTAGTTCTCAGGGTCTCATGATGGAGCTTTGTCTAATTACCATGCTAGCATTTAATTGGAACAGTGTACACAAACACACGACTTGACCTGACTGAATACCCCTTACACACCGCACAAGACACACTGCACTGCGCATGCAGTACACACATGCACATAAAAACTGACCATTTGGCTACGCATTACATTACACACCCACCAAGTTAACATGCTCCAGTTATACAAATATACATAACACACAGCATACACCAGGGTTAGATACTGTGGAGTTCGTCCAGGTTGTACTACAGCCAGTGTGTGGCTGGGCCTTCTGTGGAGCCAAGGCACGTTGTCTACAGTCAGATTTATTTTGGCCTAGTTATACCATGAGCTGCCTGTAGTTGCTCCCACAGTAGAGCTGTGTCATCTATGAACAGGCAACAACAGATGTATGTTGGAGGACAAACACTAGCCAGATATCAAAATACCACGCAGTCACTTTCACATATTCTAGAAAAACAAACATACACATCTTTAGCATTATGTGTTGCTGATATCTGGTATTTCTGTACAGCCAATGTGATGACTGTACAGAATTGATTCAGTGGCTTCTAGTTTAGTGTTAGAAGATACAGTAATTAAATGCAAATGAAAGAAATTTGGTCATTTTGTTTTTTTGTTCTTGTAAAGTAAATTGTAGATTTACCTCCTCAGCCAGGCAAGAATTGCACAAATGAAACATTCTAAGGAGATAAAGTCCCTCATGGATTGAACAAGGAATGGAGTCACAGGTAGACATCAGTTTAGTTTGCAGAGATCCACAGCCAAAATCATGGTAAACCATTGTTTCACATCATATTGGCACAAATAGAGCTATGATTATATGTTTTTCTACTGCTTGGTTGTTCTTTTATGAGTTGATTGAAATAGTTGAGTGTTGGTGGTGTTATTTTTTGTTGTAGGCAAATTTTTATTTATGTAAATAAATTGATGACTAATCAAAAACAAAATGTTCTGTTTCTCTTTCTGTTTCAGTCCTGCCCAGCCATACATGCGGCACCCCCGGCCTCATTCCAAATGGAGTCATTCACGGCTCACGGTACAACATAGGGGACAAGATCCGATACAGCTGTGAGTCAGGCTTTGTACTGGAAGGACACAGTATCCTCACGTGTATTGTATCAGCTGGCAGTGGAGCACAGTGGGATTTTCCATCACCATTTTGTAGAGGTAAGGTCTGTTGCTTTCTTGAATTTATAGTTCTATAACAGCTATTTGGAGCTCCTCTTGTTCTTAAACAGTCAGCTACCACTGATTATTAAGTAAAAGTAAAATAGTTTTCCTGAGGTCAAGGGACCTTAACAAGAGGTAACTGGCCAGAGGGAGATGAGAAGCAGCAGTGTATGGACAAAAGGTCTCACTCAAATTACATAACAAACAATTTTATGAAACAGATGGAGCCCAAAATCCTCATGCAAAGCCCTTCTTATGTTTCATTAGTATACAGACAAGAACAGATCTGCCCAGGTTTTTAACATGAGGGCCAGTCGATGGTTGAACAGCTCACCTCAGGGGGGGATTCATTGTTATGTAATAAATCACTGCAAAACTCATTTGCTTTAATTTGATGATTTTTTTTTTATCTAGTCAGTCCTTTGCTGCTGTTTTCTTTGTTTCACATGAATGTGCATTGATGAGGATGTGAGAATGGCAATTTAATTGTGTGTGTGTAATGTTCTTATTAACTCCCAAACACAGACACACACACATTGGTGGTGTTCAGGTCAGCCAGGCCTAAAGACAACAGCTCTCTCTCTCTTTCTCTCTCTCTCTCTCTCTCTCTCTCTCACTCACACACACACACACACACACATATTTACCCACACATATTCAGTGTTGTGGTAAACTAATCACTGACAGGCAACAGGTTGCAACAGTGTTACATTTCAAGCACGAGAAACTCTTTGATTGCTCATTTTCCTAGAGCGTTTTCTCTGTGTCTTTTGGGAACCTGTACAATATTATTTCTCACTGTAAATTGGGTGAGGAACACTCCAGATAAACAGCATTGCCCGCGTGTCTCCTTATCACTATTGATCAGTAAGGCAAGAGATATGGCAAAAACATTTTCCATTCAGGAGCTCATAGAACTGATTTTGGATGACCGACAAGCAATGCTGGAGGCCATGTCCAATTTGGAAGATGAGGAATATTCTGAAAATGAGAATATAGTCTGACAGTGAATTTGATGAAGAGGATGAGAAACACCATCAGCCAGTTTGTCCACAACCTGCAGGGGGACAAGTATGGATATTGAAAAATGGGGAAAGTGAAGGGTCTACTCGCCCAAGGACTGAGCCATCTCGCATGTCTGCCACCTTGATAAGGATGCAGCCTGGGCCAACACGGATGGCTGTTTCTCATCTGCAGGACACAGGGTCTGGTTGTGAACTGTTCATTTCAGAGACCATCCAAAAAATCAATCTGGACTGCTCTAAATTAGAAAGGCAATGTGTTTTGGGAGAGAGGTAAAGAGACATGGATCAAGCCAATTTACAATCAGACTTCTGGGGTTCTTTTCTTTGCTGTGGTGTTCAAACCCAATGGGGAATCCACAGAGTCCTTATGGAGTATAGAAACTGGAAGAGAAATGTTCTGCACCACATTGTCTTTAGATGACTTTCATATTATCTCCAGGATTATCCCCTTTAATGACAGAGAAGCCAGGCTGGCTTAGCGGCGGACGGACATGCTGGCCTCAATAATGTCAATGAGCAGTTTGTGGCATTCAGAGGCCGCTGTGCCTTCACACAGTGCATGCAATCTAAACCTGCCAAGCTTGGAAAAAAGTTCTGGGCTGTCTGTGATGCTGCTTGCTCACATGCATGTAACCTGAGGGAGGAGCCTTTGAGAGGAAGCAGGGTCATCCTGGACATGACACAGGGACTCCATGTACACAACATCACATGTAACAGCGTCTTCACTTCACACCAGTAGGGGCAGGAGCTGTTAAAAGTCCTGACCACACAGAAAGTGCCTATCCATTCCTCTTTGTCCAACTTGTCCCTGGTGTCATACACCGCAAAGAATTGCAAAAATGTTTTGCTTATGATTATGCTGCACAGAAATGAGAAAAGAATCTGTGGCCCTGAGAATCAGAAGCCAGAGACAATAATGGATGACAATACCACAAAAGGAGTGGTAGACTATTTAGACAAGTCGACCTCTTGTGGCATTCATCAATATCCTGGACAACTCACCTTACAATGTACTGGTCATCTAGATGGCACTAAAAATCTAAATTGGATGAGAGGGAGGCTGCAAAGGAGACATATCTTTCTTGTGGAGCTGGGCAAGGCTTTAGTGAGGCCACAAATCCAGAGAAGAGAGAACACCTTCCAAGGACCCCTGCATCTGTAGCCATCGTGAGGAGGATGCCGATAGCCAACTTGCCCCACCCACAGCACCACCAGTACCTGAGGCAAGTGTAAGTGCCTCCTACCTTACCTCTGCTTTCACTGTGTGTGTGTTAAAGCCCAATATTAAAATTCCTTTTTTCACTGTTCGAGGCTTCAGACAGTGGCTGCAAGAGGAAGTGATGCAAGCTGTACAGTTCACAGAAGGACAGGAAGACACA